TTCATTGGGACTAATGCAGACGGTGACTTGATGTTGAAGCCAGTGGTCATTTACTATTCTGAAAATCTTAGGGTCCTTAGAAATTATGTTAAACCGACACTGCTGTGTAAATGGAACAGCAAAGCACATATATGTACAGCATGGTTTATCGAACATCGTAAGCCCAGTTTTGAGACAGATTGCTCAGGAAAAAAAAAAAGATTCAGAGATTACTGCTCATTGACAATGCACCTGATCACCCAAGAACTCTGATGGAGATGTGCGACAAGATTGATGTTTTCTTGTCTGCTAACACAACATCCATTCTGTAGCCCATGGAGCAAGGAGTACTTTTGACTTTTCAAGTCTCATTATTTAAGAACTACATTTTGTAAGGCTACAGCTGCCATAGAGAGTGATTTTTCTGTTGGATTTGGGCAAAGAAAATTGAAAACCTTCTGGAAAGGATTCAGCATTCTCGATGTCCTTAAGAGCATTTATGACTCATAGGAAGAGGTGAAAATACCAACATTAACCAGAATTTGGAAGAAGTTGATTCGAACCCACATAGATGACTGAGGGATTCAAGATTTCAGTGGAGGGAGCCTGGGTGGCTCAGTCTGTTAAGCGTCCAACTTCGGCTCAGGTCATGATCTCCTGGTTCATGAGTTTGAGTTCTGCATCAGGCTGTCTGCTGATGGCTCAAAGCCTGGGGCCTGCTTCAGATTCTGCGTCTCCCTCTCTCTCTGCCCCTACCCTGCTTGTGCTCTGTCTCTCTCTCAGAAATAAATATTTTTTAAAAATTAAAAAAAGACTTCAGTGGAGAAAGTAACTACACGTGGTAGAAATAGCAAGAGAAATAAAATTAGAAGTGGAGCCTGAAGATGTGACTCAATTGCTGTGATCTCATGATAAAACTTCAACAGATGAGGAGTTGCTTCCTAGGACTGAGCAAAGAAAGTGGTTCCTTGAGGTGGAATCTACTCCTGGTGAGGATATTGTGAAGACTGTTGAAATGACAATAAAGGATTTAGAACATTACATAAACTTGATAAAGCAACAGTAGGTTTTGAGAGGGTTGACTCCAAGTTTGAAAGGAGTTCTGTGGGTAAAATGCTATCACACAGGGGTGCCTGGGTGGCTCAATTGGTTAAGTGTCCAATTCTTGATTTCTGCTCAGGTCATGATTTCACGGTTTGTGAGTCTGAGCCCCCACATCAGGCTCTGTGCTGAAAGCATTGGAGCCTGCTTATTTCTCCCTCCCTCCCTCCCTCTCTCTCTCTCTCTCTCTCCCCCAAAATAAACATTAAACATTTTTAAAAATGCTGTCACACAGCATCACATGCTACAGAGAAATCATTTGTGAAAAGAAGAGTCAGTTGAATGCAGCAGACTTCATTTATTTTAAGAAATTGCCACAACCACCCCAACCTTTAGCAGCTACCACCCTGATCAATCCGCAGCCATCAATATCAAAGCCAAGACCCCCCACCAGCCAAAAGATTGTGACTTGATGAAAACTCAGATAATGGTTAGGATTTTTTAGCAATAAAGTATTTTTAAGTATTTTTAAAGTTTATTTATTTAGAGAAAGAGCACGAGTGGGGAATGGACAGAGAGAGAGGGAGAGAGACAATCTCAAGCAGGCTCCGTCCTGTCATCACAGAGCCCAGTGTGGGGCTCGAACTCATGACTTGTGAAATCATGACCTGAGCTGAAATCAAGAGTCAGACGCTTAGCCAGCTGGGCCACCCAAGTGCTTCTAGCAATAAAGTTTTTTAAGGTATGTACATTTTCTTAGACATAATACCTTTGCACACACAATAGACTACAGTACATTGTAAACATTTATATGCACTAGGAAACTGGAAAATTCATTTGACTCACTTTATTGTGATATTAGCTCTGTTGCAGTCTGGAGCCAAACCTGCAGCATCTCCAAGGTAGGCCTGTAGAAGTTATAAAAAAGAAAGAAATGGAAATTATGGAACTGAAAAAACTGTTAATGGAAATTCAAAACTTGCTGAATGGGCTCAGTAACAGAGTGGAGATGGCGGAGGAGAGAATCTGTGAACTGGAGGATAGAACAATAGAATTTATCCAGTTTGAACAACATAGAGAAAATAGATGCAAACGAAATGAATAGAGCCTTCGTGACCTAAGGGATAATAAAAGATCCGAAATTCATGTCTGAGTGTGAGGAGGGAGGGAGGAAGAAGGGGAGAGAGGGAGAGAGAAAGAGAGAAAGAGAAGGGAGGGAGGGAGAGAGGGAATTTAAATTTGAAAAAAATAATGGCTGAAAACTTCCCCAAATTTTGCAGAAAACGTAATCCTACAAGTTGGAGGAGCTGAGTGACTCCCAAATGTGAACCCCCCTCCCCAGTAATTTTATTGCAAGCCGTGTCATAATGAAATGTTTGAAAACTAAAGACAAAGGAACTTGAAAGCAACTGGAGAGAAATGACACATGATCTGTACCAGGAACATCCAACTTCGATATCAGATTTCTCATTTGGGTGTGGGAAAATAGATGCGGTTATATACAATTTGTGGAAGTATAGATTTAACCAACATATCTGAGGGCAGTTTTATGGTAATGACCAAATTTTAACATGTTCATTTACTTTGGTTCAGCAATTCAAATTTATGGGAAGCTATTTGTCAAAAGTATGTTTAATTATCTGTTTTGACATGTATAGGGAAATATTTATTTATAAATACTAGAAATAGCTGGACTGTACCCTAATAATAGAAATGTTTTCAAATAAAAATGAAGACGAAATATACTTCACAAGGAAAAAAAAATCCACAAAGAGCAAAGATCTTACTTAATTATTGTTCTAACTTTCATAACATTTCTTAGTTCCAAAATGTATTGAGGATGCCTAATAAACCATTTCTTGGTGAACTCATTTAATGCGTTCAATAGGGGCGCCTGGGTGGCGCAGTCGGTTAAGCGTCCGACTTCAGCCAGGTCACGATCTTGCGGTCCGTGAGTTCGAGCCCCGCATCAGGCTCTGGGCTGATGGCTCAGAGCCTGGAGCCTGTTTCCGATTCTGTATCTCCCTCTCTCTCTGCCCCTCCCCCGTTCATGCTCTGTCTCTCCCTGTCCCAAAAATAAATAAACGTTGAAAAAAAAAAAAAATTTTAATGCGTTCAATAATTATGAATTGCAGACACACTCAAATATAAGTTCAAGATATAACAAGGACACCAAAAGTAACATTAATTCACTGTTCTATCAGTGCACTCATTTCTATGGGTAATTGAGTTGAACACCATATATATGTACTTTCAAAAAGTAAAAATCATACCATATGTATACGTCAATGAAATATTTATTCTAAATTTTAAAAATATCATCCCCATCTATTTTTTTTAATATTTATTTATTTTTGAGACAGAGAGAGAGAGAGAGAGAGAACATGAACAGGGGAGGGTCAGAGGAAGAGGGAGACATAGAATCCGAAACAGGCTCCAGGCTCTGAGCTGTCAGCACAGAGCCTGACGCGGGGCTCGAACCCACAGACCGCGAGATCATGACCTGAGCCGAAGCCGGAGGCTTAACCGACTGAGCCACCCAGGCGCCCCCATCCCTATCTATTTTTTAAGGCCAAGTCTGATGTTACCTCCTCCATGAAGTTTTTGATAACCATTTAGTTCAAAATCATCACTATCTTCTTTGAACCCTGACACTGTTTTTCCTGTATTTTTGTCTTCTTATTTTCTGTAACATTAGTGGTTATACTGTTACTTATTGCACTTTATTTATTTATTCTTTAGGGGGAGAATAAGAAAAGTCTAATATTTATTGGACTTACCAGCACTTACTGAATAGCTTACATGTAACAGTTGCATTACAAATTAGTTCTTAATTCATAATGTCACCCAATAAAGAATAAGATAATCTTCAAATAAAAAATCCAAAAATGAAAAACCTATCAACTTGCCTCAAGGATAAGAGTCTAACTGTATACAGTACAAAGCCCTTGCTCCATTATTTATACTGTGGTTTTTTGTTGTTGTTTTTAATTTTATTTTTTATTTTTTAAAATTTACATCCAAATTAGTTAGCATATAGTGCAACAATGATTTCAGGAGTAGATTCCTTAGTGCCCCTTCCCATTAGCCCATCCCCTCTCTCACAACCCCTCCAGTAACCCTCAGTTTGTTCTCCATATTTATGAGTCTCTTCTGTTTTGTCCCCCTCCCTGTTCTTATATTATTTTTATTTCTCTTCCCTTATGTTCTTCTGTTTTGTCTCTTAAAGTCCTCACATGAGTGAATTCATATGATTTTTGTCTTCTTCTGACTAATTTCACTTAGCATAATACCCTCCAGTTCCATCCATGTAGTTGCAAATGGCAGGATTTCATTCTTTTTGATTGCCAAGTACTACTCCATTGTATATATATACCACATCTTCTTTATCCATTCATCCATCGATGGACATTTTGGCTCTTTCCGTACTTTGACTATTGTTGATAGCGCTGCTATAAACATGGGGGTGCATGTGTCCCTTTGAAACAGCACACCTGTATCCCTTGGATAAATGCCTAGTAGTGCAATTGCTGGGTCATAGGGCAGTTCTATTTTTAATTTTTTGAGGAACCTCCATACTGTTTTCCAGAGTGGCTGCACCAGCTTGCATTCCCATATTGTACTTTAAGTATATGCCCTGTACTCTGCCTTATGTGCTTTGCATGTATTATCAGTCTTAATTCTCACGTTCGCCTTAGGTAGATGTTACTATCTCCATTTTATGGTAAAGAAACTAAAAAATTCAGATGTTGAATAACTTGCCTAAAATCATACAAGTAGGATTAAAGTGTAGATTTCAAACTCCAGTGTCTTTGCAACAAGGCCTAGTCACTATGCTGGACTGTCTCCTGAGGGAGTAAGGTAAGCAGAAGAACTGCTGTATATCGTATGTGTATATTGACTTAAAACAGAGTTTTTCTTAAACGTTAAGGTTTTTCTGTAACAAATATATAATTTTCCCCTTTTTTATTCTTTTCTAGAATTCTGGAGGTGGAAGTGGAGTTGATCTTTCAGTGCTAAATGAGGCTCGCAATATGGTGTCAGACCTTCTGATTGATCCAACCCTTCCCCCACAAGTCATTTCTTCCCTGCGGAGTATCAGTTCCTTGATGGGTGCTTTCTCAGGTTCCTGTAGGCCAAGGATTAATCCCCTCACACCATTTCCTGGATTTTACCCCTGCTCGGAAGTAGAGGACCCAGCTGAGAAAGGAGATCGAAAACTTCACAAGGTCAAGATACAGTAATCAGCCAGCCCTATACTTACCACATTTAATGATGTTTTCAAATTAAAACTGCTCCTTTGTAGCATAGATAAAACACAATTTCTTTTTCAAGGATCAGCTTTTTTATACAGTATATTGAGCTGTTTGGGACTTTAGAGGTAGTTATAAATCTCAAATATTTCTAAATGAATATTCAGCTTTTATTCTAAATTATTCTAATCAGCAGTTATGACTTTTTTGGCTACAACTATTTATCATTGTCATTATTGTTTCTTAAAAAGCAGAAGAAAAAAAAAACCCACACAAATTTAATTCCAGGCTTATATAACAAACTAGTAGTCAAATCATGTCATTAATTAATTGTATTATTTAGGATCCCGAAATTGTTCTTGTTGAACCCCAAAGAATTGATCATTATAATACTCATTTCTATGAATTACATAACATTATTTTAAATTGACTTTCACATTTTTGGGGGTCTGTTTTCCCCCCCTTTACCCACTAGAGATTGCTATAACCCAACAGACATTGATTTTTCCATCATTAGATATTGGATGAATTTTTCTTTAAATATCAATGCTTCAAAATACGATTTTCTTTAGGAAATAATAAGTACTATTCTAAGGTATACGTTATGCTTGTTTAGAATGCTTTCAATGTCTTTGTTGATAGCTAACATCATAAACTTTAGAAATAAAAACATTTTAGAGATTGTTCTAGATTAACTACTTTATTCTACAGGTAAACTAATGAAGAGAAGATAAAATTCAAAGCAGTTAAATTTTCATTGTAATAGTGTATATGGAGTTTAGAAAAAGTTAAATATGGTTTTGGAAGGATTTTGATAATTAATTTCACTGTGTTCCCAGCATTAGGGTGTAGAAGTGTTGAAAAATTAAGCAAGCCCAATTAGGGCAAAAGTTTGATAATTACTGATTGCAAATCCAGATCACAGGTGGCTATGTGATGCTTTTATTTTGTTTTGCTTATATGATGCTTTTATTTTTAAAAAATACCTGCCTTCATCAGAATCCAATTAACAATGGTACATAGTTACGTGACATTCTTTTTAGCACTCTACTTACGAGGAACAGGTTAATGACAAGCATCAAAAAGTGATAATAATAAATTCAATAAAATAACTCTATGTATTCTTGAGTTAGTCTTCACTTGATATGTTGCTGTTCCTTTATATTTTCCATTGACATTTGATGTTTAGAATAGTAACTTTTTTCTTTTTTTATTGAAGTATAGTTAACAGAGAGCAATTTTTAAAAATAGTGATTCTTAAAAATCTTAATCAGAAAAATCTTATTGATATCAATATTATGTTTGTTACTGTGCTTACTGTGTGAAAAAAAAAGTGTACTAGTACATTTTAGAAACATTTGAAACAATAATATTAATTAAACAGGATGCCTAAATGCCTCATTTCCTGAACATTTTAGTTAATCAGGCTTATTTTTGGTACTGGAATCTACTGATAGGAGTAAGTCCTGTAAGAACCAGGAAGTAAACCATATTTCTTTGTGTTCTTTAAACTTCTTTCTTGAATTTCATATCTAATTGGTCTCTGTTTTTGAAAAAGAATAGAAAAACCTGATACTCCAGAAAAGAACAACAGCATTTATAAAAAAAATAATTAGTAAGGAAAAAGGAATTATAAAAGATAATTTAATATAAATGTCTTATATATGTGTGTTAAGAACTAAGAAAGACTATATGGACCTAAGTTATAACCAGAAAGGATTGTTACACAAAGAACTTTTTCACCAAGAATCTAAGTAACTATGAACCTTTACAAAATCAACATCCTTGGGAAAACTTAAATATAAGAGATATTTAGCTCTCTGAGATGGTTTCAGTATCTGCTGATGGGGGAAATTCAGAAGAAGCAAAACCTGTTTTATGTAAATCCCAATAAAACACCTATTTACAGTGGTAAAAAATAGAATACTTTGGCTAATTGAACATTTAGATCAATTTAGAATATTTTCAAAAACTAAGGTAAACTATTAATGCTAATGGTGTTCTGAATTTAATTGCTAATTGAAAAGGTAGTTCTGAATCTTTCAGTTTCTCCAGGTTAACCCTATATACTTCAGCATTGTATTGAAAATATAAAGGGTTTAGGATCTAGGGCTTATGGTGCCAGATCCTAAGGTTGTCCTCTGAAATTGTTTTTCGGGGTAAATCTTTCTTACCTCCTTTTTAAATTGTCAAGTATTTATTTCTCATGAAATAGGAGTAAAATGTACAAAAGAATAAAGATCTAGTAAAATTGTAGGGAGTTCAGAAACCATTGTTTAATGGGAGGAACACTAAATAGAACAATAGTATCGAATGTAAAATTTGGAGTAAATCTGACATATCTTCAAGATAAAATGTCCTGTGTCTCCTGTACATACTAAAAATGTACTTTGTATTGGAATTTTTATAGGTCATCTTTAAAAATACATACACGGCATATCTAAGGGTGACAGTTTTAACCACCGTTAAATTATTCCACAGGGACTACACAGTAGGAATAGCTTACCAACTCCCCAGCTGAGGAGGAGCCCTGGAACTTCCGGTCTGCCACCTATTGAACAGTCGTCGTCCCGGTGGGAACGCAGTAATGGCAAAAGGCCACACCAAGAGTTTGGCATTTCAAGGTACAATCCCCAGTCTCTTAAAGAAATTTGAGTCAAATACACCCACTTTGTTTCTGTTGAATGAAGTTTGAAATAACTAAAGCAGAAAGGAACAGTTGAAGTATTTTAGATGTAGGACAGCATGGGTAGTAATAAGGCATAATAGCGAAACTGATTCTTAAAAAGAAGCTAATGTGTCTTCTCTGAAAAGTTAAGTACGTTGGGTACAAGGCATGCTGGGGCCTTAAGAACATGAATCAGGGAGGCAGTTTAAGGAAACTAGGGTCAGTTTAGGACGGGAAGCGGGAAAGGTTTTAAATCGGTATCTGTGACCGTTGTAGGGGCAATCACACAGGTCCAGTGCATGGTATCCAAAGGAAGGTCAACAGAGCTACTTACTTGTTAACGGAAGAGCACATTTCCAGGGCTCATCTCCGATGTTAGATACAAGGTAGCAAAACTCTTGTTCCTGCTGGAGGACTAAGACTACTAAAATATTCTGTACTCACTTGAGGATTTACTTGGAACTAAACGGTGCTAATCCTACACATGAAGGGCATCAGTAACCGTAGCTCAAGGAAGGTGGGAAAATGCAGGAGCTGAAATTTTCTGAATGTAAACATACCCATCTACCCTCATAACAAAGGAGTCAATACTTTGTCTTTTAAAAGCCAGGAGACATAGTGATCTCATGTGTGAGTTATGAAGTTCTATGTAGTCAGTGATCTAACTGTGTTAACAAAATTGGAATTAGGGGCGCCTGGGTGGCTCAGTCGGTTACGCGGCCGACTTCGGCTCAGGTCATGATCTCATGGTTCGTGAGTTCGAGCCCCGCATCGGGCTCTGTGCTGACAGCTCAGAACCTGGAGCTGTTTTGATTCTGTGTCTCCTTCTCTCTCTGCTGCTCTGTCTCTGTCTCTCTCTCTCTCTCAAAAATAAGTAAACATTAAAAAAAAATTTAAAAAAAAATTGGAATTAGGGTAAAGTTTCTGCTAAACCACTGTTAGTATTGAGCACTTTGTTTAGCTTGAGCTGTAGAGTTACACATTTGAAACAGTAGATGGCAGGATTGGATCATACCGATTTATCAGTTAAAAGTGGTGTTAACGTTTATATAGGAAATGTGATGAGATAATTGTAATTTTCCATATTCTTGCAGGATTTATTAATTTGAATTTTCTATAATGTATTCAAGTAAATGAGCTCCTTTTTTTATAAAGGAAAAATTGAATGAAATGATACATGAAACAGGAATGGGTTGAATTACAGAGTATGGTAAAGGAAAATGAGCTTTGGTTCAACACTTGCCCAGAACCTAAACATAATGGTCTTATTTTTGTTGTTGTTGTTGTCGTTGTTGTTTTTTAATGGAAGCAGGATATGGGGAAGTCAGTGATATTGGGAACTGAAAATACAACATATTTCTTAACCACAGGGAACATCATCTTGAGAATATTGTTTGGCTTAAAACAGAATGGTGAAAATGATTGCTTTTTAATCCTTCAAAATCACACTGATGTAATAGCAGTACATTTGCAATTAAATGTGATACAGTGAGTTAAGGTCACTTTTATCCTGCTGACTTAGGATGATTGATATTAAAATAGAAACATGGTCCAAAGAAAATTAACTCTGAGAAATGTTCATAAAAGAGGTAAATGTACGCAGATTCAATGTAATTACTTAACTCTCATTAAAACAAAGCCATGTGCCTCATGAAAGATTTAGAAACTTGGAGAATAAAGTAATTGGTGGTAATATGTATGTCAATCATATTAGATAGCATAGCTATCAATCTTTCATGTATGGTAATTTTTTGTTCAGGAACCTTTAGGCTTTAATAGCTCAAACCGAATAGACATGTGAATCCGGAATCACAAGGCATTCATTTTGACTTTGTTGGAATACTCTAGAACTGAGGTCACATATCCTACATTTTTTTTCTAAATTTAAAGATTTTTTTTAAAGTTTATTTATTTATTTTGAGAGAGAGAGAGAGCAAGTCGGGAAGGTGCAGAGAGGGAAGGAGAGAATCTTAAGCAGGCTCTGTGCTGTCAGCACAGAGCCCAGTGCAGGGCTCCATCTCACAAACTGTGAGATCATGACTTGAACCGACATCAAGAGTCAGACGCTTAACCTACTGAGCCACCCAGGTGCACCCCACATGTCCTACATTTTTGAATCTTGATTTGAACACAGCTTTGGATTTTGATGCTAGCTTCTCTGACTGTGATTTTAAATGACTCTGACTATGCTTTCAACATGATTCCAGTATTGAACCTCTCATTCCCTAAAGCTGTGACCAAAACCAAATGTCTCATCTCTCCGGTAACGTTTTCATGTTACTGTTTTTCTGCCCTCATTTCCTGACACAATACTGCTACCCTCTCACTTAGTGGTTGGTTTAGAAAATGGATTTAGCTAGAAAACTTGGTGTTTGCATCCTCTTACCTTGTCCTGTAGATACCTGTTGTCAGGTCTGTCTCTGCGTCTCTTTTCCTTTCTGTTCCCTCTTCTCCTTTATCACTTTATACTGTTTCATGCTTTATATCTCCTTACATGGGCTATTGAATTATCCTCTCTTGTTTTGTAAACACTTATTTATCATTGAGAGACAGACACAGTGTGAGCAGGGGAGGGGTAGAGAGGGAGACTCAGAATCCGAAGCAGGCTCCAGGCTCTGAGCTGTCAGCACAGAGCCCGATGCGGGGCTCGAACTCACAAACTGCAGGATCATGACCTGAGCTGAAGTCGGTGGCTTAACCAACTGAGCCCTCCAGGCGCTCCTGAATTTTCCTCTTAATTGACCTTTCCATTTCTAATATCCTTCACTGCCTGTTCCATCTCCTACCCTTCCACGACAATTCTTCCTTAAATGAAACCTTGATTATACAGTTTTTCTGATCATTAAGTTTTTTGACCCTTAACCGATGCCTGTAGAATAGTGCCCAACTTCCTAGCCTGGGATCTGAAACCCTGTTATTCCCTCATGACAAAGCTGCACCCTTACTTGCAAAAATGAAACAATGTGAAAGATAGGAGCAGTCTTGCAAAAAAACGTGACCAGAAGAGTGACTTGGAAAGCTCTCTAGGTGAAAACAACAGGCATGTGACTCCTGTTAGACTCTTCCTTGAACTTTCCTGATAATTTCGTTTTTTGTCTAACACATTTGAAAATTGAGTTGAATTACAGTTTGCAGCCCCACCTTGTTTGAGTGCAGAGTAATATAGGATTTAATTTTGCTTTTCTTCATGCTTTGTCTGGAGAAAAAAGTGAAGTGTTATAAACTGTACAGTAGCTGTGATAAACAGAATCCAAGGGAAGAAAACCACCAGGAAGAAGGGCTAGTCATGGTTGAGCAGCCACTGCATTACCTGCCCTCAAGACTTCACCTCTTAAAGTTCACCTGTTAAAGGACTTCAGATTTTAATTAAGAGGGCCATTGTTTTACAAAACCAAAATATGTCCATCTTTCTCTATTTATCTGAAATTCCAGTCAAGCTTAACTATTTGCTATTCTCTCTGTTCCTCCGCTTCTATGCTCCCCACT